CTTAAACATAAGAACATATTATGGCTAAGGCTACAGTTACACACGTCATAATAGTAATATTAAACACCCTGTCTGCTGACACATCAACTTTTCTCTCTAGTTATCCTTGACCAGATGTACCCTGTAGAAACTCATAAGCATGACTAAGCATTTAACAGTCTAACTATACATCCTATCTCCACTAAACATTTCTAATACATAAAGTATCTATCCAATATCTATCTGACTAAAAATACCTAACACCCCTATGGACAGATAGACAGAACACTTGACCTCTGCAGACACACACCCATGCTCACACCTCTTCCTAAAGACTGAGATTTGCACTGAACTGCACCTTATAATGTTACTACACTCTTTTGCTGCTAACATGCTACTGACCTGATTAGGTCCCATACATCCCTTTTTATTTCTTCATATTTTTATATTGACTTATACAATTATGTGTTATGTAAATAATGTGTCTTTTAAGCCGAGGGCTGCCGGAAATTCTTTTGTTGTGCTATGCATAATGACAATAAAGATTCTTAATTTCTTTGCAAAACATGGCCCAACATTATTTATAGTTGCAGTATTTAACTACACAAAAATAGCAAAAATGTAATTTTACTATTTCACTCACTAAACAACTATGAATATAGTTGAACTACCAGCAAGTTACTGCAAAACATAGTTGAACTACTAGTTTAAGTACAAGTAGTTCACTGCTCCCCAATACTAAACAGTAGCAATATTAAAAGTCAAGTGACTGAAGCCTTTACCGCTCATGTTCACGTTCTTTATTTGCAAACTGATCTGTGCAGTTCACCATTCACTAAAAAATTTGTGTGTTGAATGAACAGTGCTCTTTTAGTGCATTCATGCACAACAGTAGCTGTTAAGACATTTCACTAAAAGCCACAAACGTTAACCTCCATGTGGAGCACAGAAGAAAAGTCAGCACCTTGGAAAATTACTGGGATTCATCCTCTGGGGCAAATGAGTATGTGTACAAACAACAATATCTGTTGAAATATCTCAGTCTTGACCAAAGCAGTGGAGCAACCAGTATTACTAAAGGCTTTGCAGGTGAATGAGTCATTCCAGCACCAATGTATCAGCCTTATAGACATAAGGCGAATGCAATCGCAGCAAAACGTCTGTGTGCTATGATTTACTTTTATGAAATAGCATACGTTTAAACTGAGTGGAGAGCTAATCTCACCCACTAAGACTGGTATAACAAGGAAAAAAATCAAAGCAGTGAAGCAGTGCCAGAGTTTAATCAATGTGCCGTTGAGCATTTCACTTTTATCTAGCAATATTTCAGTCTCCAAATTATTTTTTGCATACACTGACATTTAATGTAGTGTATAGTGTAGTGCATTTTTCAGCAAGTAAGCAAGCTTGTAGTGCTAGGTTGAATAATGCTGCGGCACAGCCTTGACACTGTGAAACTGATTTGTCCAAGCTATTTTCTGGAAGGTGGAAGAGAAAATGCCTTCAGGCGCTTTCTACATTATCATTCACTGGACAGGAGTCTTTGTAAACACACTGGCCCACATTTGTCCTGGAATCTGATTATGCATTGGTATCCAGCCTACAAATATCTTCCATCCATTCATCTGGTGTGACAGGAGGGGGAGGAGGTTATAGCATGCACTGGGTGAAAGAAAGACCAATACATTACACCTTATGTAGACTTTTCTAATTAGCCTAACTTGCACATCTTGCCTGTAGGATGACACCCATGCACATACACAAAATGAATGTGCATTCATTTTCTTTATATAGTAGATGCCCAAGAGCTGAAAAGACTTTATGCCACATTTAATTAAAGCTGCACCACTGCTGATGTGCTGCTTTTGCAGAGGTGCTTGCATATATATTACACAGTACATAAAAAGTAGAGTTACATTAATGGCTGTTTAGGGAACAGTTCTTTGAATAAAGGATGTGAATGTAAAAAGCTGGAGAACTTTAAAGAACCCTATACTTTTATGTACATGCCCATAAACAGACCAGTCAGTGGTGGCAGAAATTTGCAATAAAAGAGGTTAGAATAATCTGTAGTGATGTAAGACCCTTAAATTATTTAAAACAGGAGAGAAAATTAAGTCCAAAATTCACACACTTCATTGCTCTGCTTTTGTGTTCTCTAACCTATTGTCAGCGTGCTTACAATAACAAAACTCATCCTAGTGTTTAGCAGGTATAATGTTTACCATGTTCACCATCTTAACATGATAGCATTTTGCTATTTAACACTAAACATAAAGTACAGCAGAAGTGGATGGGAATGTTGTGAAGTATTTGGCAAATAAAATTTTGACCTGAAAATTGAGCTAAATTCAAGAGAATTTGGGATCACAGAAGTTACTTTCACTTTATTTTAAAGGGACAGGAAGGTGTGCACCAAACTGAATGCCAGCCCATCCAGTTGTTGTCTGGACAATTCACTCAATACCACAAATAAGAACCTCATGGTATCAGTATAGCAAAAGTCAGCAGGTAGGCAAAGTCATTTTGGAGAGACTGCCTGGGAGCCATAAGCAATCTAGTCAATATTTAATGATACTTCAGTTTGGAACAAGGTGGTGGACTGACCAGCCATCACACCATCACACCTCTAGTGGTCATGCAGAAATAATGTGTTAGCGCAGCTTTAACCTCTAGAGTCCTGAGCTTTGGAAACCCAAGCTGTGCGGTCCTCATATGAGGACGCAGGGACTCTAGAGGTTAAGTTTAGTTTATGAAATTATTAAGTGGTAGGCATGCAACCAGATTTACTGTATGTATAGCATTTATATTATTTATAAGGTGTTGTACAAGGCTGCTGTAAGAATATTGCAGAGGGATGCAGCTCTTGGGTTTCCATACCTTATCATCTGCTGCTTTAATAGAGGTGATCATAAGTGTCAAATGGGTTTCTAAATTTGAAATGGTAACTATTGTGTTTTCATTATTTTGCAAGTCAAACCATGTCAAGATGATGCAGGTTATTTACCAGCACAAATTATGTAAAATTACTTGCACAAATTTACAGAATGTGCAGGTTGGGTTTGAACAAATGAAATCCAGTGATGCACAACCAAAAGCATTGCAATGTGTCTCTTTTACAACTGAGCATCACATTGATTTGTTATTGCTTTCTAATTCTGCAATTTTATGGTTTTTACTGCATAGAGATTTCTGCTTATTTTTGGGAGTGAAAGTCAAAATGAAACATCACATTTCTCACTGGGGTTGATTTGTACTATAATTTCACAGCTCCTACATTCTGCTCACATAATTCCTTAAAGTTAAATGATAATGTCTGCTTCATTTTGATACATCAAAGTGCAGCGGGTGGTGATGATAACCACACTTTTGAAGTACCGTTACTGCAATCCACACTTTCAAATGAGTCTATTTGCAGGGCCAGTGGGTAAACAGCATATGCTGTTATGGTGATAGAAGTTGTGGGTAGACTGGCAGTCATTAGTGCTGGTGTGGCACATTGATAACACCATGTCATTACAATATGATTTGCTCATCATTTCACTGGTTTCTCTCCTCTGACATCTCTGATTTTTTCCAGATTATTGCCCCAGTGACATCATCTTTCCCTTTTGCCTCTACCTTATCATCTCCATCTGTAAAATTATTATTTCCTATGCACAGCATGTGACACAAAGTTGAGATGAGACAGCCTGGTGTGTTGAGGTTCCCGTGTTCCTTGGCAGACCTTGCTACCCATAAATAAATCCTATTTCTTGGGAAGCACTTCTGCAATGTTTAAACAGAAGACAGGTCAGTTATACAGACAATAACTCTTCACATCTTACCAGCAGCACTGATTTCCTAAAGCAGGTCATGGAATTATGTGGTGGGTAAAACATATCTGCCTTTAATAAATACCAACGAATCCTACACCAGATCCTGAGTATGAATAAAAGTGTTGATAAATAGTCAGATGTCCCATATACTGTATAGGTAAGACAAAATGTTAAAGCAATTAATTCACACACAAAACAACAACACTTACATATTTTACTATCAGGAAAGTAAAAACAGATGTGATCTCAGTGAACATAATAAACAAATGCTCATTTAGTTAATTAAGCTTTAAGCAGTGGTGGTGTTTGGCCCAAAATGTCCCTTAAGTTTTGGACCAGATCTGGCATTTATGTAGGCCACAGGATATGATTCATACCACTGTCCGACTTCTGACAAAGATTCTTTTGTATTTGTTGCATTCCTCTACTTGTTTATTCAGTTCTTCCTTCCTATTTCATAATATCAGGTATACTCTTGCTCAGTGTGCTACGTTGGCTCATTTGTAAACTGGAGTGTATTGGCCACTCCAGTTTAGAATAACATGTTATGTGACTGAACATTTCTCTGAACCTGGAGGACATGAGGTTATAAAGGATGGGATTGATGGCAGAGCTCAGGTAAAAGCAGACTCCCGACACAACATGGACGTGCTCGAAGATCTTGTGGTGCTGCTTGGATGAGGTGTCAATGTAGCTCCACATTAATCGGTCCACGTGGAAGGGAGCCCAGCAGAGGCCGAACACAACCACCAACACACCTGGACCAGATGGAGGAATTGCATAGTCAACTGGACAGACAGACTGACAACAAACAAACACATGGGTACAAGTGGTACAAACACTCATATGCACACATCCTGTTTTCTGATCCTTATCAACTTGGTAAAATCCTTTTTTAAATTATACCTACAAAGCATTTTGGTGACTTGCATGTTGCGTTTGTTCAGTTTCTGCCTGCAAGACTGGGAGAAACTTTCCAATCCAAAGCTACACCTCGTGTCCACCACCATCATCATCCTGTCCCTGTGCAGCTGCAGGCCAATGAGCAGGTAGAGGATGGTAATTATCAGCATGGGGAGCAGGAAGAAGACCAGCGTGGAAATCAGGATGATCAGGTTGTACATCCATTTGGGCTTGATCACAACTGAGGATGGAGATGTAACAATGTGGATAGCACAGATTTGTCTATTTTTAATTTAGCACAGTCATCAGGTCAAAAATTTTATTTACCCAATATGCTGGTTTATAGCAAAAGAACCGGCAAAACAATGACATTTTCATCAGCCTCAGCTGTAATTTGTGTTAATTAGCAAATGTTAGCATGATGTGCATAGTAAACATAGCACCTGCTTAACATTAACCTGTTGGTATTGTCACTGGGAGCATGTTTGCATGGTGACATTAACATGTAGCCTCACATTACTGCTAGTGTAACTGCAGATTCTTTAAAAGAAAAATTGAAGAAATGTAATTTCAAAACATACGGCAGATAGCAGATCGAGGAAAATGTCGTCCAAACCTTGGTGGCAACATTACAGTCCCATGCAGACTGGTGTTTGGCACAGCGCATAGCATGGACAACACCCACAGCATGAAGATGACCCTCTTGACATGAGCACGCGTGGTCATGTGTTTGACTTCCAGGGGGTGGACCACTGCCACATAGCGTTCCACGCTGAGTGCTGTGACATTGAGGATGGAGGCAAAGCAGACGGTCTCAAACAGGAAGGTTTTGAAGTAGCAGCCCCCCTCACCGAGCAGGAAGGGGTAGTTCTGCCACATCTCATAGAGCTCCAAGGGCATGCCCAACAGCAGCACCAGCAGGTCAGACACCGCCAGGCTCAGCAGGTAGTAGTTGGTGGGTGTCTGCATCGCCTTGTAGTGCAAAATGACCACACAAGTCAGAGAATTGCCCAGGACGCCCACCATGAAGATGGTTAGATAGGTGATACAGATGGGAAGAAACACAGGGGACCTTGGAGGCCCCAGGTACCTGGCCAGGTACTCCTCCTCCCTCAAACACACGTCATCCAGATCTTGTTCAGTAGCATTGGCCAACAACCAGGAGATATTCATCCCACACACCACCGCAGCCTCAGGGCAGCCTGTGCCAGTGAAAACTGTGGCAGCAGTTGTGAAAAGAGCTGCGAGGGAACAGTTCAGCTCCAGCATTTTGCTGATAGGCAAGAAGGATGCTACGTTTCTAAATGTAATGGAAAGTACGGGAACAATTAGTTCAATTTATTCAGTATGATTTGTAGATTTGTAACAAAGCTTGAGTTATGACTAGTAGAGTAGAATTTACAAAATGGGGTTTAGATGCTAAAAGACATCATGAGAATTGTATGATCTATACCGACACTACGACAGGCTATTTCAGCTTCTGCTATTTTGATTTTGACCATCTTGTACCCACTGCAAAACTACTGAACTGGTTTAAAAAAAAGACATGAAAACCAGTAATGAGGCAAAATGATTTCTAATTGCTGCTCCTTCAAACACTACATCATCAGCTGGCTTGTTGGACTCTGAAAAGGCATGACTTCTCACTAGTGAGTATATTAGGATCATAAAATTGATTCTACAACTGTTGCCACTGTATTTGTAGCTACAAAAAAGCCTCTAGGCACAAAAATGGTATACTATTTCTTTTTTAAGTGACCTAACAACATACAGCAGACTGTTGTTACCAAGCAGTTTGCTCTGATCTGTGGTAACTAGCAGGGAAATATGCTCATAAATGGAAGCAACATGCAGACAAAAAGCAGTCTAATCGGTTTAATGAATAATAAATAGTATATCCAGTATCACCACAGCAGCACTAACAAATGTTTGATAACTTTTCATGTGGCCATGTTATTATGAAATGAAAAACCCCTCTTTCTATAATTTTCCTAAAAAGATTTTATACAGTATACTTTTGCTCTACCAAAACAGATTCCATAAGAGCTTTGTTTGGATTCCCATGCTGGATTTGTTTATTTGTACTACATGGAACAGAATAACAAACATCATATGAGAAAAAGAAAGAAAACGCACCTTCAGTTTGAGGGTTTCTTGATGGCTTTATCCGCTTCTTATTTACAAGATGACAAGACTTGAAGAAATGTGATAAGATGTGTAATCGTCATATTTCTTTGCATCCTAGACTTAGTGGTACTGCTGCTTTATCTTGACTGCTTTGGTGTTTCAGTGTGTCACGGCTGCCTAGACTTCTCCCATTTAAGTGCTGGTGTTCACCCCTCCCCTGTCTCTCTCTCTCTCCTTCATCCCTAGAGTGTCTTGTGTGCAGCCTCCACCATTAGCCACCTTCCAACATACTAAACTGAAATGGGTGCACATAGTAAACATACCTGCTTAGCATAAGCATGGTGTCACAGAGTAGCCATGCTACTGTTAGCAGTTAGCTCAAAGCACAGCCTCAGAGTTTCTAACATGGCTGTAGAAACTTTAGGCTTGTTACTAATCAGTAACTGTGAGAAAAGCTGTTTAATGGCCTATTTTCACACCCCAGGAAGTTACCACAGCGCTTGCATGTATCTGATGGGCAGAACCTTGCCAAACCTTCAAGATGCACCGCATGATCAGCACAGTCTCATTACAGCTGATTTCATTACATGGGCATTCACTTCTTTATGCCAGTGAATGAAAATTAGGGTAAAAATGCTTAAATCTGTGAACGGATGCTTTGATTTCAAGTGACTCATGTTCTTGCCCGGTACTCCAGTACTCTGGTGGGGGGATAGGCCCCTCTGATCTTCCTCTCTATGTCATTTCTGATCATCCCTGTCTCTTCTAGTGGTCTCATACTGCCTTTTATGACTATAACTGCTGTCCAAATCGCTGCTCTCTGCCAAGTCTCAAATACAGATGGACTCAAAAAGAAGCAGACACCAGCCAGGAGTAGTTCTAGAAGAACTTTGATAATTTTTTAACAATTTTTGACTGATTTGGGGTTGTAGTAAAAAGGACACTTTTGGGGGAATATTTCTGGATATATAGAGCTGAGGAAATATTTGACATGCAGAGGATTGCTTTGCTAACACATTAGCTCAGTGAGAAACATCTTGTGTGGTACATTTGAAAACAAGCAAGGATGAGAACTGAAAACTCAGTTTTAGCCAACTGCACATGCCCATGTGAGTCTCAGCCTCCTGCTCCACCCTCACTCTAATTCAATCACATCTTTTAATTCCAATGCAGAGGCTGAAATACGACCCTGACAGGAACCATGTTCTCAGTGGTGCCTCCCTTTAGACAAGCTTTAACCTCTGTGCCAGACTGACTGAGGCAAAAAGCTTTGATTGTGATGAGACTCCCTTGACTTGCCTGCCACAGCTTTTTCATATCCAGGCCCATGTTGAGAGGTCATTGTCTGTTGGATTATGTAATTATTGCACTTTCCCCCAAAAGCAACTGCAATGACATGCAACAAACATCACCAAGTAGACTATGGATGCTATAGGTCATGGTCGGGATCTTAACTTATAGGACAAATTATTACAATGTACATAAGACTAAACTGATGTTAGATTAACAAAATGAACATTAAGGCAAAAACAATAATTATTATGTAAATGAATATAGAGAAAGAAGAATTACAAATAAATGAACGCACAAAGAAAACAAAATCTTACTGTCTATTCTGGCTCTGCTGCTTCTGCTCAGGTTGGGCCACAGGCATTCATCTGTCACAGGCAGTGTTGGCCCTGGCCAGGACATGCACATGCAGCATGAAGAAGACTTTCCAGCTAATATTAAATACTGTCATATAGTTTCCACTACTTGACTAGAAACACCCTCTGTATGCTTGTAAACAGAGTAGAAGAAACAGAAGCATGATGTTTAAAAAAAACACAGCTTCCCACTGGGAGCTCGACTTCTGCTGTTGTTCAGATTTATTATGCTGAAGAGGACTAAGGCAAACTATCATATGTGACAGAGTCCTGGAGGTGCCGACGACAGCTCATAGTGTGGCAGTTCCTCCATGCCAGCACCATTTTCTTTGCAGGATCACATAAGAATGAATATCAGTATTTCTGTCAAGCAGCTTTAAATTGGATTTTGGCCAGCAGACACTGCATGAAGGAATTGAGTCTTTGAAGAAAACCCAGTCTCCAGTTAGTTAAACTTGTAGGGTATCTGTTCTCTGTTATATTTCTACTGAAACTCACTCATAACTCATATCAGATTTAATTAAATAAATGAGGAGTCTGAACACTGTGAACTCTTATCAAAAACGAACAAAGTGAGCTGCTAGCTGCAGCTTTCTGCTGTTCCTCTAGCACTCATTCATTTGATGCAGTTACCGTCCCTCTGGTTTTAATGAGTTCCACTAAATTTTATTGTAAGAGTAAGCAACTGTGTTCCATTTACAAATGAGAGCTTAATCAGGAACATTCTGCCCTTTTTTGTTAAAGAAAATATCAGAGCTGCTACCTTGGAAACAACTCGCAGGGTTTAACTCTTTAGTTAACATACATTTGCAAGTGTGTCTGTGTGTTGACTGTTCAGTGAGTCAACCTAACAAAAAACACCAATGGAAATATTTTCTGTCTTTTATGTCTGGCATGTGAGTTTGCCTCCATTACAACATCCAGAGACGCAGACTATGCGGGTGCTGGAGTATATCCTCAGAGGTGCAGATGCTGGATGGACAGTGGAGAAAAAAATCTCTTACATACACACAAAGTAACACAGTTTTCTAACCTTTCCTGGTGTTTCAGGGCTGTTTTCACAGCCTTATGTACATGAATGTTAATTTACAGGATGAGCATAGAGACGTGTTTTTGCCTAATGTATGTCCAGAAGTATGACAACATTATTAATGGAGCAGTGTATACTGTATACAGCACACTAACAACTTCCTTTTTTATGTTTAAAGTACATTATTTCAGTTAGGTGTTGGTCAGCAACACATCACCGCCACACCATACTGTACAACCCAAATTCCTACAGCAGCATATTTAAACTCAATCAAATACTAATCAAATACTTTTACAGGCTGGCTGCACGGTCACTGCTACAAACATTTATAGTGTTTCACTAATAATATTTGATCTTTATACTCTAGAACCACTTAATACTACATAAGAAAATACACTGACCCTTGTGCTTGTATAAACCTTGTAACCCTCAGTTTGAACGCTCATGATATGAGTGAAGCAGAAAACAGCACTGCTGAACTGGTTACTGAGAAACAACATCAATACTGTTAGGTATTTTTAGTCAGATAGATATTGGACAGATACTTTATGTATTAGAAATGTTTAGTGGAGATAGGATGTCTAGTTAGACTGTTAAATGCTTAGTCATGCTTATGAGTTTCTACAGGGTACATCTGGTCAAGGATAACTAGAGAGAAGAGTTGATGACTGTCAGCAGACAGGGTGTTTAATATTATTATTATGACGTGTATAACTGTAGCCTTAGCCATAATAGGTTCTTATGTTTAAGCCACGACATGTTACTAGAGGTCGTGAGAATGTTTTTAGCTACACACCACTTAACCAACAGACACACACACA